AACGAAATAAGTAAAGGTTATATTTTATATGTAATTTTTTTTAATTTGTAGAATGTTTAACATTTATAGTAGTGAAGATGAAATTATGGAGATAGGTCCTCCTGAATCAAATCCGAATCTTAAAATTCTAGATGGAAAATTTTATAAAGTAATTCATGTGAAAAAGGACAAGGTACAAGCCAAATGTCAAAATTGCACAAGTAAAAAAGTTATTAAAGGTTGAACAAACTCCTCTACAAACTTTGTTAAACATATTAAAGTATATTATACATTTTTATTTTATAATTATTACATAATAATACCTATACTTATGTCCCTCTTAGATAATGGTTATTATTTTATAGAAGATGGTTGATTATCAAATTAAAATCATTTTGGTTATATATTTTTTAGGAATGTACCGTTACCACTTTTTAGAATATTAAATTGATATCGGCCCGATCCGATATCATATCTAATTTTGTATTCTGTAAAGATACCAATGGTTTTAATTTTTAATACACTTTTTACTAGTATAACATCTTTAATTTAACTATACCATAACTTATGTTATTTAAATATATTATAATGATCAGTTATAGTTTATATTCAATTGCAATTCTAAAAGTATATAAAATATTTTTATTGTTAAATCACTTTTATATAATAAGTAATAACATTAATATATATATATATTAAGTAATAAACAATTAATTATATTATGAAATTTGAATTAAATATTTAAAATAATATTTAACATGAATATAGCAAAGATTTCTTTTTAGAAATACCAATATTTCCAATTTATCAGAGGTCAGCTTGCGGCGATAGTAACTGTCAATATAGCTTCATTAAAAACAGATTCTGAAGAGATTATCGCACACTTTTATAAACAGAATGCGCAAAAAAATAACAATATGGTAGAATGTTTATTAATTAATTATTATTATTAAAAAAATATATATAAAAATGGATTTCGATTTTATTTATAAAAATAAATGATTTTAGATATAACTATTTTTTTAAATTTTAAAACATTTTATTTTTGTTAAAAAAGCCATTTTTATATCGGATCAAATTTTATAATATTGACCGATAATTGATATTTTAAAATGGGCGAAATATCGGCCCGATCCGATTCGATAAAAAATATCGGCACATCCCTAATATATTTTATATTTAATTATTTTAGCAAGATCTTATTAGAGGAAATATTTAAGCTACAATTGATATATAATATTAGATAATACTAAAAGGCTCTTAATAAAATAATTATAATATAATAAGGTAGAATTTAACTTTATTAGTTACTTTTATTTATTTATGATATAAGTAAAATTACATTACAGTATTTATTTACAAAATTTAATCAATTTAAAATGCATTAAAGAAAATTGTTATGTATTTAATAATTAAATAATATAATGTTGTACATTATTTTCATATTTTTTATATATAATTAATGATTTTGCAAGAAATATATAAAAAAATTTTTAAAAGAGATTTAAATGATATTTATATATATGATATTACAAATGCAAGAATTAATAAGTCATATTAGAAAATAAAACTAATTTAAAAAATACACAAACAAGTAATGATAAATACTTATTAAAGATAATGAATAAAAAACTAGTATAGTATATTTTTTAGAGATGCCATTTAGCTATATACTCCGAATATAAGCTATATTTAAAACAACACAGAAAATAACCTGCAAATTCTAATAAATCATTTGATTTAATTTTTTTCTTATTTGCACATTTTCAACACCCATTAAATATACTACTCTCCCTTCCCTGTTTAAGCTATTAATGGGCAAAAATTAATATTAAAATCCCTGGTTATTATAATTAATTCATCAATAAATATTTTATTAATTATTGCAAATATTCATTCTTATATGTGTATGCTATGTTCTTCACAAATAAATAATAAAAATTGTATTTTATAAACTATTCTAATTTAATTGGTAATGATAATTTAAAAATATCTTGTATTTAAGATACTCTAATTTAATAAAAGATACAAGTATCTTTTATCTTGTATCTTTTTGATATTTTGAAAAAGATACTAGTATCTGTATCTAAGATTCATTTTTTTATAAAGAATCTGTATCTAGATTCTTTTTCCGGAAGACCTGCCCAACTCTGATTAAAAGCAATCATTTTAATCCCCAAACATCTATTTTCATCAAAAAAATGGCGGCCAATGTTTTTGAGAAATTTATGACAGCAGTCATTTTACCTAGGTTACGACAGTTGTAAAATGACTGTCTGTGGTAAAATAACAGCAGTCGAAATTTAACGCAGTCAATTTTCAACGGTTATTTTAGACGATATAATAATTACTGGTGATTAAATCAAGATCCATAAAAAAACTTTATAACCATGCTCAAAACGTTAGAAATAAACGGTATCAAATTAATTTTTTAAAGAAAATATTAAATTTTTAGGTCATATGATCAATTAAGAGGGCATTGCGACAACGAACAAAAATGTCAAGGAAATTTTAGACGCAAATTACCAAAGAGAGTCAAGGAATTACAATTTCTTATTGGTATCATTAATTACCATGAAAAATTTATAAGCAATTTTTTTACCATCGCTGCACCGTTATATTCATTTCTAAAAAAGAATTCCGATTGAAATGAACAGATATTGAAACATAACAGTTAATAAATTTAAAAAATTAATATCAGAAGCACCTATTCTAACCCTAAAATGCAATAATTCTAGTTACTGACTTATCTCAAGATGGATGGGTCTGTTCTGTCCCATATAATTAACAATGTGGAAAAGTCTGTATTTGTTTCTCACAAACTAAATGCCGCCGACCAAAATTAAAGTCAGATAGAGCGTGAGGCCTTAGCATTAATATTTTATTTGTAATTATTTTACTATAATTAATGAAAAACACTTATATCGTTACTTAACCCACATAAAAGATTAACAAATACCCCCAAGATTAATAAGATGGTATTTACTGATGGCAAATTATGATTATGAATTACAACTTCGAGGGATGAAAAAACATATCAATGTGGATATGATATCTCGGTTTAGTAAACTGTAAACCATCTGTAAGGGAGGAATTAGATATCAATTTAATAGTAGCAGATTCCTCACAATTTGTCTCAGCTTTATATATAAAATCACAAACAGAAAACTACCCAATATTAGCAAAAGTTTTATGGTACACAAGTAAATATTTTATCTTCTTTATTGGCCACCAGAGTATGACTAAGACGACATTATTAGCTCAAGATAATGTTTAGTGGTCTAATAATAACCAGGAAGCTGAATTATAAAGTAAGAATCGTGAATTATGTATAATATATAATCCTGGTGATTTGTAGAAATGTTTTGTATTTCTAGTTAGCGATCTGCATCGGGCCAAATTATTTAAGCCTGGCCTGAATTTATTTAAATATAGAAATTAATTTTTATAATTACTCAAAATAAACGATATATGTTATATGGCGTCTACTTTCTATAAATAAAATAACATATTTTTATTTTACATAAAAAATTTAACATAAAATTGATAAATTTAAATATATTTTAAAAAGTTTCTAAGGCCTGACCCCACCTGGCTCAAATTTTACCTACTTTTGCAGATCTCTATTTCTAGTCACTTATTGAAACTAACTATTATCACAAATATATCTCTACATGAGGGCCTTGTAAAATCTAAATAAATTTTTCCTCAGGTTTGTTTGGGGAATGGTAAAAAGATTTAATAATACTTTTCTTATTTAAAACTATTGTTACAGATGTGGCCCTCCAAAGTCGAAAATTCAATAATTTTATAATTATTAATCAAAAAATTTATATTGCTCCATATCATCCACGATTAAAAGGAAAGGTTAAGCGCTTAGTACAAGTTAAAAAAAAATTTAAAACATAATGAATATGAAACACAAGGTCTTCTTTTAAATTATCATAATACATTGCAAATATATAAACAACCCTGTTTAATTATGCTTAAATTTCAAACAATAGGTCAAATACAATTACTAAAACCTATTTACAAGCATACTTCAATTGCCAGGTTTTTATAATATAAATGAGAAATGATATGTAAAATATTTTAAAAAAGAACTAGGTATCATTGTTAAATGAAGAGGGCAAGTGGCATTTTTAATAATACAAATTAAGGGTTATGAAGAAAACTTAATAATTTGAAACATATTTACGATTCTGAGATTAAATAGCAATAGAAACCATGTAAAACATAATGTCGTCAATAATCAAAATGACAAAATCCTGCCAATGCAAAACTTACTATCAAAATTATTCCTACACAAATCTCAATATCCATAGATTCTTCAGAAATCGCAATAATTAAGAAAATGGAAATGAGCCTCCAAATCCACCTATAGAAGAAAACCAAAATATGTCTAAATGAATAATAAAGCAATTTATTACATTTCAGATTTAGGGATAAAACGGAGGAAAAATTGAGATAAGTAAATTAATTAATAGCAGAGATATGCAGGCCCAGCCCCCAAGTTTACACATGTTAAACCATATTTTAAGTTTCTCAATTATACCTGGCCTCCCCCAAATTTTTTTTTAAAAAAAGGCCTGAGCCAGGCCGAATATTTTGAATCATCATTATTATCTATAAAAATTAAAAATAAATATAATATATTAGGCTGGGTCATGTAAATGGTACCTCAGCAGATCTCTGATTAATGGTATCAGTTAATTATTACATTAATTGTTATTATTATAAAAATTATCTTATATAATTGTTATTATTTCAAAATAGGTTAATATATAAATGTATAAAATTGAAAACCAGTTTTAGATAAATATATAATTTTAATAATTTTTTTTGCCCTACCCAGCCAAAATAAAAAAATTCTAGCCTTTACAAGGTCCAGGAAAGAAATGATCATTATAAAATTTTCATTTTTTTCATCTTAAACTCAAATATAAATAAATTTTATGAAATATGAACTTTTATTAATTATTGGATTTATATAAAAAAAATTTAATTAAGGTAATACAAAGTTTTTTCAAAATTATAAAGGTTAATGTTTTCAAAACAAAATATTTATATAAATATTAACCATACATATATATAAGCATAAGGATTCCATTGAATATTTTAATTATTCTATAGGGAATATTCATTATAAAAATGTTCTAATGCTATAGGGTGTTTTTTCATATTTTTAGAAAAAGTTGTATGGAAGGATATATAATTAAACCATTGATGTAATCCCATGGCTATAAAACCTAGGATTTGTTTAGAATATGATGAAAACAATTATTTTACTTGACATAAGAGAATATTTTAAGAAGGAATGAGAAGGCTTAAAATTGTTAAAAAAGAATTTTATATAAAAAGATATAAAAATGCATCCGGTGCCAGTTATAATTTTACAATCAGGGCAATCAGGTCCCGTAACTTTTATACTAACCACCTAAATTTAACGAATAATTCATACGGGTTTGTAATTTTAAATACCATGTGATTTTGGGCGGTGTAACTAAACTGAGAATAGACAGGTAAACTGAGAATTGACAGGTAAAATTTATTTCTATTTTATAGCCTATCAATTTCATTTTATAAATATAAATAAAATGTTTCTATTAAATATATCAAATTATCCAAAATTAATTTTACTAAATAAAGAAAATAGAATATAGAAGAAAATGTTCCCCATAAATTTATAATATGTATTGAATGGATATATTATATAAAAAATATAACACCCATAATAAATTTTACCTATCATAATTATATTTCTGGTAGATGGCGTAATAGACTAATAATTTAGTTTTTTAATCAAAAATAATAAGAATTATAGGAGCATAATTCTTTACTTTGTATTAATTTATTTAATACAAATTGATATAATAATAAAATGAAAATAAATTTAAGTTTCCGTCATTATTTTTTGAGTTATGATCACAATTCTCAATTTAGAAAATCTTTTTTAGATTTTTGGGATTTTAAAAATATTTATTTTTTTGACTCATTTTGTATAAAATAACTTATTATAAACATGAAATGAAACCGTATATTCATAAAAATAATTTATTTTTTAAAGAAAAACAAATTAAAAATCATAATATTTTAGAATTGCTTGAGCCTCAGCCAAATATTGACAATATGGTAATTCTTCATCGTTACTATAGTGCGTAAAGAAATTGTGAAAAATATAAGAGAAGGATTTCTTATTTGGTTAATATGTCATCATCAGTTAACCAATTACACGATATTTTTATTGCTGAATATTTCGGTGAGTATCCTGATCAATGACATATGTCATTGATCCTGATACAATAGCTCATGTCAATAAGAAAATATCTCAATCCATATATTCAAGCACACCGCGTTCCGTTTACAAAACAATTGTTAATAAAGTAAAGTACCAAACACCTATTAATATCTACCAAGAATTACTAATTGAAGATCGTGATATAATAGGTCCCTCTAAATGTAATACAAATAGCTTATATTAAATATAATCTTTTAAGCAAAAATGAATTAGGATACTTTCTACAGTGGCGTAGCAGGAATTTTCCTTAGAGGGGGTCCATACATGTATAAGACTGGGTACTTCGCCCCCAGACCCCCTTTAACGAGCCTTCGCCCCTTTTGCCCGGCCTTAGGCCGGGTTTATCTTAAAAATCATAACAATATCTTCGATATTATATAATAAATATAGTTAATGCATCAATAATATATTATTATAATTTCGTAGATTATCTCAAATTATCATTCCACGAACATCAAAAATATAAATATTCATGGTATTTATTTGATATAAAGTAACCTTTAAGTCTTTTGAACGTATAATGTAAAAAAAATATTTGACCTGGGAGGGGTCCCACCCCCGTAGCTACGCCACTGCTTGTCTAATTTTGCTGATCAAGCTCTTGATATTTTAAAAAGCATGTATAAATACCCATTGGTACAAAAGGTTGATATCAGCCCAGATAAAGTAATATCTCTTATTTTATAAACTCCCCTCATGATAGATAACATTAAATATATATCCTCAAATTATAATCCTAGCATTATAAGTATAGATAAAAATTATAATTTAGGAGAATTGTTTGTAACATGCATCGTTTTTAAACATGAATGCATAAAAACTCATCGTTTACACGATCATCCAATTTTATTAGGACCTATATTTTTACACGGTAATTCGGATTATTAAAATTTAATAATTTTTCTCCCAACTTGAATTCAATTTTTTTAAAAAATCGTTTACCCTTTAATAATTTAATTTTTGGGAGGAGAATTGGGGATGGTATCGGCCTAGCGTAGAAATTTTATAAATTCAACCCATCTTTTATGCACTAAACACATTAAAGAAAATTTAATTCATTTTTTAACATAACGAAGGAGTTGAAATAAAAATTAGAAACATAATTATATTTTCAATAAAGATGGAATAATATATTTATTAACCGATGAAATCTTTAAAAAAAATATTGTTAATTTAAAACAATTTTGCTTATAAAAATTATACAAAATTTGTAAAATATTCAGATAATCATTTAATAGATAAATTATATAATATGGTATATTCCTTTAAAAAATAATATAATTTTGACGCCCTACACCAACAATAATTGTAAAAGTATAAATCATATATTAAAAACAAAATTTGATTGGAAAAAACTCTTTTACATATAATGATAAATAAAATAAATGATATAGTTTTAATACAGCAAAAAAGTCGAAAGAGCTATATGTGGGTTGGGACCTTATTATCTAACAAAGGCATTGGATATATCATCCATGCATCAGAGCTGGGCTGAGATACAGATGCTGAAAAGGCAATTCTGTTAAAAATACTAAAAGAAAATAGTAATGGAAAACTAATTACCTCAATATGTGGTCAATAGCTATAGTGAAACCTTTAGAATCAAAAAAACCTAATCAAGCCAAAAGAGCCAAAGCGGAAAGAACGAAAACAATAAGGTCATATATTTATTTGTTTTTAAAAGAAATATTTAATTTCCAACATACAAAAATTAACTTAATAATTCTTCCTATATTTATAAAAAATAATTTATATATTTTTAACAATTATCGATCTTCCTGGCTTTTTCAAATAATTCAGTTTAATTATGTGCAAGAAAGAACCTTCTTATCTTCTAATGAAACTTTATAATGAGTTTCCATTTATCTTAATTTTTCTTTATAAAATTATATTTAATCAAGATTTGAGGAATATTGCTATTTCTAATTGGTTTAAAGAATGTATTGTTATTTACTATCAAATCTTTATTTAACATTTATAACAAACGTCTTTTTTAAGACATAAATACCCAACGTCTTTTTTAAGACCAATGAATACCCAACGGTCTTTTTTAAGACCAACGAATACCCAATGGCCCTTTTAAGGGCCCCTAAATTTTAACTAAAGTAAACTAGTTTTCATTCAATAACAACTATAAATTATTGCATTTATTTATGAGTCAAAATAATAAAAAAATTTTTAAATCCCAAAAATCTAAAAAAAATTTGACTAAACTGAGAATTGACATCACAACTTAAAAAATAAACTTAAATTTTTTTTCATTTTATGTTTATATAAGTTAGTTTACACAAAATGAGTCAAAAAAATAAAATAATTTTAAAATCCCAAGAATCTAAAAAAAAATTGACTAAATTGAGAATTGACATTTAAACTCAAAAAATAATGATGGAAACTTCAAATTTTTTTCATTTTATGGATATATAGTTTGTACCAAATAAATTAATCCAAAGTAAAAAATTATGCTCCTATAATTCATATTATTTTTAATTAAAAACTAAATTTTTAATCTATTACGCCATATACCAGAAATATATTTATGATATGTAAAATTTATTATGGGTGTTAAATTTTCTATTTAATATATCGGTTCTATACATATTATAAATTAATGGACTAATCTTTCTTCCATATTCTATTTTATTTTTTTAGATAATTTTAATTTTGGATAAATTTGATTTACATAATACAAATATTTTATTTATATTTTTAAAATATAATTTATAGGCCATAATTTTACCTGTCTATTCTCAGTTTACATGTCCATTCGCAGTTTACCTGTCAATTCTCAGCTTACACCCTAATTGGGGTTATCTGAAAAGGATAACTGAAAATATTGATAACTTAATAAAAGTTATTGTTAGTTATTACCAAGTCAACATTTAGTAATTCTAAATAAATAAATTATCTAATTATAATTTTTCGATGTCCTCACTTACGTCATCGCTACGTCATGTCATCGGTACGTATTTATTTTTATTTTTTTTATTTGTTGATTTTATTTTATTTTATTCATACAGATGAATGGAATTGATGGTGTACACATACCTAACATGGATTGAGAGTAAAAACAATATTCCCTCAAATTTGTAAATATGAATGAAACTTTTTATTTCACTTAATCCTTTCTTTATTTTTTAGATTACCTTATCAATTTTCATCTCATATTATCAATTACACATTAATTAAATCTTTTTATACTCATATTTTTCTCTCATAACCAATAATTAAGATGATAACCAAGTATATTCAAATATTTAAATATTCTTATCCTAACCTATTTATAATCTCCAATCCTTATAAATAACTCTTTCTTTATTTTTTTCACCTCCCTTAATGAATTTATTTATCACTAAATTTTATTATCTCATTCTTTTCTTTCTATCTCTATTATCTATTAACCACTATTTCTCAAAAATTTATCAATTCCTTTAATTTAATTTTTATTATTTTTATAATATAATAATTTACACCTTCTGTTTTTCCCCTTTTTTAATCTTATTTTTTAATTACCTTACAATTAATTAACCTTAATCTTAATAACATTACATTCATCATGTTATGTTTTAACTTTTAGAATATCATAATAGGCTTGATAAGTCCCCTAAAAATCTTTTTTGATGATAGCCCTCCAACTACTAGAAATGTGCATCTAATATTGACCCATTTACCGGTTTTACATTATTTTAATGTTTGTTAATTTCAACAATAGTTTATTAATATTTTTGCCTGATTTCTTTATTTGTTTAGGCTAACCCTAATCCCTCACATTGCTACAAAACATGATGAATCTATTATTAAAGATAAGCAAAGAAAATAATGACGATTAAACAAACGCCTTACCCGTTCTAGAGTTACTGGTAGACAAAATAATAAAGAACTACGCTTGAAATGAACTCATCTGGAGGTTTATTTTGTTTTTTTTATCTTATGTTTTATATCTATGTTTATTTTACTTTCACCCATTTCTCCAAATGATATTTCTATCACCATTACCACAATCCCTATACCACCTCCGCCTATTTTTTAACAAATATAAACATTTAATTTTGTGCTATCATTCACTTCACTAGGAGTTAATATAAATATTACTTTAGCCGATTCTCTGAGAAACTTTCATGAATATTTAGAGGAATGTTCAAACTTGAATGTACACTACGGCCAATTTCATCAACTTTATTAATGGAAAAATATGCAGTATTTATGTCGTGGCCTTTATAACAATACTTACGACCGTTTTATGGTTGAGTTAACATTGTTGTTCATGATTCTATTTTAGAAGGGGATACCAATTCTGGCATTGACAGAAATATCGTTATGCATGTTCAAACTTGAATGTACAGTACAGCCAATTTCATTAACTTTATTAATGGAAAAATAGGCAGTAGTTCTGTCGTGGCCTTTATAACAATACTTACTACCGTTTTATGGTTTAGTTAACATTGTCGTTCATGATTCTATTTTAGAGGGGGATACCAATGCTGAAATTGACAGAAATATTGTTTTGCGTTCATAAGCATATCATCTTTATCAGGACATAATGTGTTTTGTACACTGCTTTGTTAATCCGTTATCACTTTCATCTACAACCCTAAAGATATAAAATTATACATTAATTATTTCCTTTCCAGACGACCGCCCAGATTTATTTTGTCTCTTTTTCCATCAAAAATTAAAATGTTAACAAGGATTTACTCTTAATTTTATCAAATACATAATAAATAATCCTCATTATTTTTAAAAAAAATTATCCTAAATTTATGTCAATAAAAAAAAATATCTTAAAAAATATATAAATAATTTACATATAAGTTTCATTAGTGTTTAATGGCATTTTTGTAATTTAAATAGATAGCATTTTTTTTAACTTAACATAAAAAAATATATATCCCTTATCAAATTCTTTGACAAATAATTTCAGAAATGCAAGACATACATTAAATTTATCTGAAAAACAACAATAACCCTATATAATAAACATTTTTTTAGATATAATTTTATTTGATCATATTACAAAAAAGTATAAGAGTCGGTTATTTTTATTTTATTTGGCATGATTCTCTAATAAGTGGTTGCCCAGGTCTTCCCAGTTTCCCTTAATACGGAATTTACATGTTTTTTTTCCATATTCGACTAATAGGTAAATCAGATATTTCCCGTTCATGTGATGATATTATAAATTTAACTATCTCCAAAGCGGGAAAAAATTTTTAAAATTATAATGGGTAGGACTGGGCTTAGAACCTCAAAATTAATATTAGCTTGCACCTGACTTGGGAATATCTTTTACAAACTATTAAGGGTTGAGCTGGGCTTGATAAACTTTTTTAAAATTATAAGATCTTGGATGCTTCCTAATATTGTGAGCTTGAACCTGGCATGACATCTATCGTAAAAAATGAATAAAAATCTCATTCTCCGTCATTTTTGACGGGCTTTCTACTCGTTTTAATTATTTTTAGAATGCAATAAAATCCATTTTTTTATATATATAAATTAAGTAATTAAATTATGTCGCCTCCGATATATCACCTCCGCTAGGTTAGACCTACCAAATGGCTTGAGAAAGAAAAAAAACCTTACTAGCAGGGGCTTCACTAGCCTTTACAACTCAGGGGGCTCAACTAAAAAAAAAATTATGGGGGCAAAGCCCCCCATGCCTTTGGCTCGCTTTTGCCCTCTTCGGCGTGTTTTATATTAATATATTATACTTTTTTAATTTGCAAACTCTCTAATTATTAGTAAAACAATACAAGACATTATCTAAATATAAAATTCTTTAATACAAAATATTTATCCATTTATTACAATATTAAATATTTTCGATTGCGAATGTAAAAAATTTTTTGTCTAAAGGAAGTGATAAAAAAGTTAACCTCAATAGATAATGGTTTTTAAAAACCACACGGGGCGATATAATTCTAAGCAAACTACATTGACCAAAGGTCATTAAACTAATATAACGTTGTATTACCATTTTAGACAATGTTTTATAGAATTGACTAATAAGGAAAAATTTGTAGGCCTAACCAAATCAATAATTCTTAAAGGAGATAATATAAACGACTAATCCAAACCATAAGATTATATGGGTTAATGATAGATACTGCCAAGTCAACCTATAGAACTAAATAAACCTAATTTGCTAAATACAGGCCAAATTAAGTTGTAATAAGACCCTTATTATTTAACATATTATAACATTGTCACGTGGTGGAGTAACCACTATTTGGTATGAGAATTTAGAGAATACAAATAACATAGAATAAATTAATTAAATACTAATTACTTTATTAAATAATATTAATTGTAATTAAATAAATTATAAATTAACATAGCAAAAATTAAAAAGCAAATTAAAGTCTAATAAAATTTATAAAAATTTTTTCTTCTTAATATTATATTTTTTTATCGCTATATTTATACTACTAAAATTTACATCATATAATCTCGTCGTATTCATATTCAAATTTTAACATTTAATTGTCTATATTATAATTTTCCGATGTCTTCACTACGTCCGGCCCGGGTATTTTTAAAAAAAAATTTTCAGGCCCGGCCTGGGTATAATTTAAAATAGAGCCCAACCCTGGTACCCGGGCCAGGCCTGCAGCTATCTGATCTATACCCTTAAATGTTTTACAATGTTGCAAGTTGAGGTAATGCTAACTGAAATTTTTGATAGGCAAACATTTTATATCAATCTTTATTTTTAGATATTATTTTAAAATATGCTCTATAAATTGGGTATGAAAGAACAATGTCTTAACTTGTTGATGCTTCATTTGTTATTACTTCTTCCTCTTCATCACTATTAATATTAATCTAGAATAAATTTTTTAAAATTAGTATAAAATAAAATACCAATTACATTGAAAATAAAAATGGCAGATATCCTTGAGATGAATTATAATATCAAAATTTGTCTGGTATATTGATAAACTCGGACTTAATATTTAAGGAATATTTATACATATATTTTTTTTATATATAAGTTTTAATATTTATATATAAAATTTTTTTATTATAGTAGTCTTAATATTTTTTAATATATATATATATTTATTTAAATTATATGCTCATATGAAATAAAATAAATTTTGCATTCAAGTATTTTTATTTATAATATAAAAAAGCCTTAAATATATCAAAATGTATCTTAAAAAGTATCTAAAACTATAGATACCTTTAAAATAATATATAGATACAAATAAAGATATTTTAAAAAAATCTATCTAGATACAGATACCACATATTTATATCTAGACACTTTAACAACTCTGATAAATTTGCAAATTTAAGACCTATTCTATTATTTTCTAAACTAAATTGGCTTTTTAACATTAAAATTTATAAAAATTGTTTTTTTCTGATGGTGTGGTAATCAATAAATTAATAATAATTCATAATCTAAGCTATATAAACTTGAATTTGGAATCAAAGCGGAACGACATTTTGTCGTAATAGCATATGGCAAACATTAGCCAAAGGTTAGCAGAAAGAGATACCTTAAGCGTTCATATGAGAATTAAATATTATACACATTAGATTCATTATTTTGTTCATAAGATCAAACCCATTTCCGAAAAGTTTCGTGCTTTTATGCCACTTAGGGAAAATTAAATTAAAGCTAAATTATTTTAATAGTGAAAACTATTGAATTTGCATTATATAAAATTTAAATTTTGTCTGCAATAAAAGGGTGCATCCGATTTGCCTTTTTTATGAGGTATGAATGAACTTTATTTACTTTTATTTTGATTCGAATTCTTCAATTATTTGATAAAATATATTAATGAAATATATATGGTAATTATTATTTAGGGCGATAAAGATCCAACCTGACATATAGTAATCAATGAATAAACAATACAAAAAAATTGAATATTTGGACCTGACTTTTGACACGAGTATAAATATTTGGCAATACAGGTTAGTGGTTAAACTAGATAGCTGTCTATCACGGTGGGAAGAAAAAGATGCATTATAAGAAAATCAAAACCATGCTTACAATGCATACACCTTAATTTAGGCTATTACTTTTAAAAAATTAATCACTTTTATTTATTTGTACTAATAATTTACTGTAATTTCTAATATATAGAGTAAAATACTCTTCAAAGGCAAAAAGACTCGGATAGGACTCGAACTTGGTGGAGCAAAGTCAGACTTGGTCAATCCGATATTATATATATATAGAGTAACGATGTAACAATTTAACAACTACTTCTATTCTATATGCAAAGAGAAAATATTAAAAATTGGAACTGCAACTGTAATAGATTTGAAAAATACCAATATAAATATTTAAAGAAGCTACACTGATTTACAATTAAATTTTATAATTTATTTTAAAACAATTCATAAATACATACAATACAAAAAAATACTGCAATATTTTTCACCTATTCATAAACTATAATTCAGTAGTTGCGATTGCTGCAGCATAACTAACAGAAGAATCATGAAAAGTTTTAGATTTGTTTGATTGCGTATATCTTAAGAATTTTATGGAGCATTGTTGATCTTGCCTAACATTTTTCAAAATCTGTTAAGGAATTTAAATAAAAATTATAAATGTTAATAAACTTGAAGTAATACAGCAATAGGATGTCTTCCACATATAGTATTTCCATATTCTTTTAAATATTTATTAAAATGTTGAGGGTCCATCGATTCGATTATGTTCATTCCCTGTACCATTAATATTATAAAATATTTTAAATGTTAATTTTTGCAATATTCTCTTTACCTCTTTTTTGTATTAAATCCCTCCAATCTACTACCAAATGTCCTTTAATTCGCCTTCGCTCTTAAATAAATTTATAAATTCCCGTTCATCTATGTTTTTCACGTCAACTATCCCTTAAATTAGCCCCAATCTATAAAATTCATCATACCTACTCAGAATATCTCAAGCTTCTATCACCAAACTTTTAAAATCCCCAATTAATTTCCCCAACTTTTTCTTTATCTCCCGCATATTGGCCCTACCACTACATTGGTCCTCAATCTCTTCTTCATTAGATCCCCTTGGGCCTTTACAATCTCTCACAAACTTCCGACAACCATGTTAGGAATACTTCATCGATCTCCAAAACATATTGGGCCTATCATAACTTCAAGGACAAGAATACGTCAATCCATTGTGACCTTGACCCTATTATTTCTAAAAAAAGATTTCCGCTTTTACTGACCTCCAGCTCCTGACTTTAGTTGACCAGAGTCCACTCCCCTTCTCAACTAGTCGCTAACTATTATAAAATGCTGATTTTACTATAGGTTATGAATGGTTGGAAGCATTATCAATTCGTAAACTAGGTAACTTCTTATCAGATGAATTAAGAGTCACCATAGGCTACCCCATACATGCATAAAAAGTAAAATATCGATTGATTCCAAAACGAGACATGGCCTTAATTATATACATAGACAAGGCAGACAAGCAAGTCATGCAGCATTCAGTTAATAGCGGTTCTATTATAAGGGCCTGAATACTAAACATCCTGGAGTCTGCTAAAGGGTCATTCCATGACAAATCAACCACGATTCGGCCAGGTAAGCAAAGAAAGGTCAATGTAACTAAGAAATAGCCAAAATTTTAGCCTCTTAACATTTATATTTTTGAAGATATTAGGGTTCAAAGTGGCAAAAATGACGTATTTTTACCATTATCTGCCTTCATTCAATTAAGCATATCTTAAAAACTACATAATTGTAAATAACAAATTTAATATCAAAATTACGTACAAAGATTTTAATTTTAGATAAAAAAATTTTTTTATATTTTTTTCCAATTTCCGGTCATTTTATTTAATGTATAAGGATTAAAAATGATTTTTCGGAAATAATAAGACCTTCAATTTTTTTAAAAAATTTAGTAGACATTACTCTTCTTTATATTTATAAAAAAAAATTGGTCTGGGACGCGGCCATCTTCATTCTCAAAATCGATAAAATGTTTAGAAAAGTGTATAAATATTTTCCCGAAAGGGGGCGTTTTTGTATAAAATTATATATTAATCAGTTTTTAATGGTTTTTCTTGAACTATTTGATATAATTTAAAGGATTATTCATCTTGTAAGTGAAAATAACAATAAATGGGGCTTTCATTCAATTATAGAAATTGTCTATCGATAAAAGAAATTCAATTTATTACTTTATTTATAATTTATTATAAAAATTTTTGCCCATATAACATATATTTAATATTAATAAAATATGTTCAATTAAGTTTCGAGTTCTTGAATATATGAATCAGAATCTTGTGCATTTCATATATGGCGCCCTAAATATTAAAAAAATTGATATAATTTAAATTTAAACTCACTTTCAAAGGATTCTAATTTTTCGGTAACGCATTTACTTTCTTGTGCCGACAATGTATAACTACGGCCAGTAGCATTTAACAGTGAAACTAATGGAAATGTAAAGGAATTAGAAGGTCCGGATAGGTGTAAAAACTTTATATATATTTCTTCCTGCTTTTGATTTTTCACTAAAACAAAGCTAACCACCAATTAGAATCATAAGGATACGTTAGGTATCCTGATATTTCTTCAATAATTATATTTTCATCATTAAATGATAACTATTCTAAAGTACTTTCTATTGAATTGGAATACATTTAATTTTAAATTGATGTAGATCTGTTGGAATCAAGGTGTGTATTTTGTGTGTTCCAGGTATAGATCTAGTTTTTGAAAATCTTTCCCTGAGTAATAGATCTTCGTAATCATAATTTATTTTGGTCATCTTCAAAATATATGACATTAATATTTTCTTTAGCTAACTCATACAATTCATATGATGTGTACTTTGAGTAAGACCTTGTAAACTAGCTCTAGCGGCTAATCCCATCACAAACACTTTTCCCGTGTGCTGTAGCAGAAAAATGCCATTTCGCCTGTACCCCGAAATCCATCTCATGATGGCAAATATTAATAAAATTTTTACGATTTTTATACTGTGCAGCGGATCCACCGGGAAATAAAAAATTTTATTTGGCCTACAAATTTTATTAATTAAAAAATTTACCAATGTTTTTTTGAAATTATGTACTGCTATTGTATTGTGTTGCAAAGATTCGGATATCATTACATAATTTAGGCAACAAATATTGGCAAAATTATCTTTATAATATATAAGAAAAGGGTGAACAGTGGATTGAGCCCTATTCCAATGATAATTTTGTACTTCATCCTGAAGTATAAAGCTATAGTTTTCTTAAAAAACACAAAATTAAATATTGGTCTTCGTCTAAGTTCAATTTTAGATTGTTTTGATACAACGATTGTTGCTTGAAATAAAAAAATGGAGTAATAAAGATTCCATTTTTTCAAAAAAGGCATTGATAAATTCACCTACTGGTTATTGTTTCAAGAGTGGTTCTATCTACGGATAGCCATTGTTTGTATGTTATAAATTCGATGTCCTTAGAACGAAACAATATTTCTATTTGATCGCGTAAATGTGTTGACCCTGGACAATTATCACATTTGCCCATATAACTGGATGGTTGAGGCGAATTACAAATTATTAAGTGTAAAATATGTTTGTATGTTTTAAAGGGCAACATATCATTGTTTAAATTTGATCCAATGATCATTAATTTAAAATTTTGGTGGTGCAATCACATACATGTGTACCACTACCTCCAACGAGTATACAATTTTCGGGCGAATGCTTGCGAATTTCGAAAAACCAATTTTAACATCAGGCCTCATTTCTTTAAAAAATATATAAATTTTTTTCAAATTATCTAAAATTAATCTCTTATGTATGTATGGTATTCTTTTTTCCGTCTTTGGTCAAAATCGAAACGCAATCTTTCTTGCCTGGCATGATTCTGCTTATTTCGTCCATACAATAAAATTCTTATACAATTTTAACTGTATATTCGTCTATAGTGAACCAATAAATTAATTAAAAAATGAATTAATATAGTGAGCATGTGTTATTGAATGATTAAAACCCTTTCGCGCCCGGAATATTTCCCATCAACAAAATATACATGTACTTTGATATAATAAAATAATGATTTTGACAGGTTACTGATAAAATACGAAATAATAAATATTGTTTTATAAATTAATATCTCTAAGTACCAACCATTAATTTCTTTAAATATAAAAATTAATTGATTAAAAATTTTGATGACAAATGAACTCGCTGGGCGCGAAAGGGTTAATCAATTTTAAAATTTTTATTTATTTTATTGATTGAAACACTTATTTATTGTTATTCTAATTTAGTAAGGCTATGCCGATTTTAGAAAATCCGATCCAATATTTATATTGTTTTGGGTTATTTTATGATAATACTTTTATTTTGTATATAATTTCATAATAATAATAAATTAATATTTGTAATATTTTAAAAATATCAAATTATTTTAAAAAATTGAGTAGAGAAAATTTTGATATTATTTTTGGCGTCTATGAAATGCACAAGATTCTGATTCATATATACAAGAACTATAAACTTGGTTGAATAATATTCATTAAATATATGTTATATGGGCAAAAATTTTATAATAAAGTAATAAATTAAATTTCTTTTATCGATAGACAATTTCTATAATTGAATGAAAGCCCCATTTATTATTATTTTCACTTACAAGATGAATACTCCTTTAAATTATATCAAATAGTCCAAGAAAAACCATTAAAAACTGATTAATATATAATTTTATACAAAGACGCCCCCTTTCGGGAAAATATTTATACACTTTTCTAAACATTTTTATCGATTTTGAGAATGAAGATGGCCGCGTCCCAGACCAATTTTTTTTTATAAGAAGAGTTTAATAATGTCTACTAAATTTCGTATTATTTCCAAAAAATCGTTTTTAGTCCTTATATATTAAATAAAATGGCCGGAAATTGGAAAAAAATTACAATTATGTAGTTTTTAAGATATGCTTAATTGAATGAACGCAGATAATGGAAAAATACGTCATTTTTGCTACTTTGAACCCTAATATTTTCAAAAATATAAATGTTATGAGGTTAAAATTTTGGCTATTTCTTAGTACATTAACCAAATTTTAAAAAAAATCGAAAGGGGTCGGCTGAAAATCTCATTTTTTTGCTCATTTGACGTGGAATGACCCTAAATTAACATCAGATACTGCTTAGGACACGTGGTACTTTTGTACCTTTAGGTATCATTTCCAAATATAAACCTTAATCCAGCTGATATAGCCGAGAAAAAAAATATTCGAATTAGAAAATTATGTTTTCTTACCAAGAGCCTCTTCATAATCCAGGTAATTTTATTTTTTTAAACAAAAAATTCAAATTATTATTTTACAATATATTCATTATTGTTTTTTGGGAACTTGTATCCCGTTTTTATAGAATGAGAGTTTCTATATTTATTTTTTATAGTTTATAATTGGAATATAGTTATATATTAATTAAATAAAAATCTATCAAAAATAAAAAATTTGTTCGAAATTATACCATTTTATCGATATGTTCAATTGACTGATAAATATCTCCATGAGATTGATCATAATACGTGTAGCTAAATCGATGTCCTATAAATATTATATAAAATATCGCCATTAATTGATATGTAAGAATATCCATATCAGAGATCACCAAGGCCAGCCCGCTGGTAGGTCAAATTTAAAAATGATATAATTGGTCGGGTTACTTGTATAAAAAAATTAACGTATCGAACCAGACATTTAGTAAATTTTTAAGTATTTTGATTTTTTTTGAAATTTCTTTAGAAGTATAAGTTGATTAGTTTTTAAAATATATTTTTGTGTAATGAAATTATATTGCTGGTATAATTAAAAATTACTCTATATTTATTATTTACATTATAAATATGAATGATCAAAATTTTATTGCGGAGGCTAAAGATGGACATTCGTTAGTTGCTGAATACTGTTCCCGTTCCTAATGGGCATAACGACCGATCAGACAATGTCAAGTATCGATCATATTAACAGGTATTGACCTATGCGCCTTTAAAGGTTTGGTAATAAACCGTATCAGAATACCAACTACAACCATGAACTGAAGACACAAGAAAAGGATACCCCAGAAGCGATTTAACAGTCTGGAGGTCAGGTCTATACAAGTCTATGAGAATGAATCGAAGCAATGTATCGGGAGCCTCGGAGAGAGATGGAGTACATCGAGAGGCAATGCCAACAAATTTAATAGATTTGGTCACCGAAGAGGAATTTATGACTTTGATGATGACTTAGGAAATGATATTTTAAGTGAATTTGAGGGAAAGGCCAGTCGTAAACGTATTAAATACTTTATATGTGAAACATATTTAGTTTTTGTTTCCTCATGTAGCGATTGAGTTACATTATACAGATGGTAGATATCGTTTTTGTTTATATTTCTTGGTATAGATTAATATATATCAGGGTTAGCAAGCAGGTATATCAAATTAGAAGTCTGAAATGGACGGGTATTTAGCCAAAAAGCTTGTTTCAATTTATTTTTAATCCACCGCTCACCCATTTATAATTTTTTTTAAAAATTTTTACCCGCTCTACCGCCCATTTATCTATAAATTTTGTTTAACCCGCCCTCCCACCTAATGCTTAAAATTATTTTAATGGCTGCTTGGCTCTTTATTTATTTTAATATATTTTTAATTAAACATATATGTATAATATGCAATATTATGAAATAAAACTATTAATTTTAATAAATTGAAGTCTGTTCTCATTTCGCCTTAAATTTAACCGCCCATTACTTTACAATTTAATTTAACCCGCCCAACGTTAAAAATATTTTAAAAAACTCGACCACGCCTTGAGCTAAAAATCCGATGCAGAACTCTATATCAAATAAGGTCAATTGACCCAAAGTGTATTTAATCAGTCAAATAATCTAAAATATTTTTTTTAATAAAATATATTTTATGTATGTTTTTATATGAACCCGTTTATTAATTTAGTTGCATAATAAATATAAGTGTATTCTTAGATACGGATACGAGGGTTAATATTATAGCTGCTTGAAGAATTTTAAATCCAAATCAGCCTTTAATCATAATCAATTTTATGGATTTGCTGCATCCGCTTAAAATTATTTTTTGGGGATCTTGAACGAGTAGTTATTTAATTAATATATATCCATTATTTAAAAAAATCCAAGTGCAGTATTGTCCTAATTAAGAAATCAGCATGCCTTATCATCTACTTTAAGTACGGCTAGAAAAGTGTATACTAATGAAGAAACTAATTGTGATATACATAAAAAATAAGTGATATCTTAGAGGAAGAACAATTTCTGATAAAAAATTAGTTTTATATACTTAAGCCACTAACTATGTCATTGTTACGAATTTAAGGGGGGAATTGCACTTTGACCCCAAAAAATGAGATTTTATCTTTAGAACACATTATTCAATCGTTCCAGATGTTTTCACTATCAGAATAATATTTTTATATAACTGCTTTGCTGTAATGAGGCCTATTTATTAGATCCCCAACATCATGGACAACATCTCATGAATAGAATTCGATGAAACTTGACAAAAGAGCTAGGAATTAGAGGTGGGCGCGGGCCTAATTTTTAATTATGTCCTGCCCGCTCACGGCGGTAATAAAAAATTTACGGCAATTCACGCTTACCAATATTAAATTTCCCAACCGACCAGCTTATGAAAGGCAGTATTTTGATTCACGCCCGTCATGCCTAAAAATTCACTGTTTTTTAATTTTTCATAACTTTATTGCCAACCTATAATTATATACTTTTTTGAATTTATTCTATTTATTTCTCTAATTCCATAATCCATATTAATAACAAAAAATAAATACAATTTATAAGTCGAAATTTTTATTTAAAAAAAAGAAGAATGTTATGTTTTTTGATTTCAATTGAGTACGCCTTTCCTCCAAAAAGCGATTGGCTACAGAAAATAATTTTTCACTAGATTCCGTACTTGCAGGGGCTGACAAAATTTTACTCGCTAATTTTTCCAAAAAAGGAAACGAAATTTCTTGCTTCCAAAACTTCATACTGTCATTGTTATATGTCTTATGAGCGATGAATCTTTTAAGTTCATCCTCGCAGCTTTCATCGGCAGATGGTGATGTTTTATCAGAATAATCTAGAAATTCTCTAAACTTTTAATTTAGGTTTCTTATGAGTGTAAGATGAATTATGACAGTTGTAAATAATAGTTGGCCTTGGCATTGACTTATTCATATAATATTTTAAGTCATTTAGCATTTTTATGGTTGTTTTATAATATACCGTCTTTTTCTTATTCTAATAAAAACTTAAGGCTTTTGAAATTCGGATCTAAAATTAAGTCTACTTTATGAAGTGGCTGCATAATAAATCTTTCATTTAAAAGAAATCCTGTCCTGTTTTTTAAGGTTTTGATTATTATTGTATCACCTTCAGAAGGTTGACAATATCAATGAAACTTATAGCCATATAAAAATAGGATTATTAAATTCCTAATCAAATCTTAGTTTTACATACTCCTCAAAGTAAAACATTTAATACTTTTTTTAATAAAATATGCTTCTTTTTTAACAATTAAGAAACACAAAGATCTAAAGGAAAGCCAGCTACACTAATAGACCCAACAAAACACAACAACCAATGAAAAATAATAAATCCCTTATTCTCGTTCAGCAATGGTAATAGGGTAATAAATAAATTTAAATATGTTTTATTTTCATTAATATTTATTATTAATACTAATCAATTGCACTCAAATTATAATTAATCAAAATTAATATATCATTGTTTAAATTTTCTCATATTTACCTACAAATCTAACATACTCAATATAATTGTCATAAATAAACTTGTTTAGATTATATATATTTTAAAATATAGTGAAGAAATATTTTAAAAATTTCAAATATTACTCAATATAATAGTTTCTTCAAATTACCCACAATAAATGAAGTTTATCTATGGAAGCAAAAATGTAAAATTTTGTCAACCTTCTGAAGGTGATATATAATCAAAACTAGGGCTGTGCCGATCCACATATTTTTCACCGATCCGATCCGATATTGTTTCAAAACCGATCCGATATTTTTACTGATTTCTAATCACCCCCGTTTGAACCAAATGTAATTAAGAAATCAATATTTTTTATGCAAAAAATCGAATTATGAATAATTTAATTTTTTTATTTCTACAATTAAGACTATAATGAAAAAATATATATTTAATAATATATCCATTTTATGTTGCTTGGAATTATAAAATTGTAATATTTAATATATAAAATTATAATATATTAGATTTTTATAATAAATATGAGAGCCTCTAGATTTTCTGGAAATAAGCTTCTACGATATGGACTATCTATATCTCCTGCCGTACTGAAGGCAGACTCAGATGATTCCGCAGATAACGCATTTTGCAAAATTATCTTTGTTTTTTGTAAAATATTTCCATAATTCAGATATCATATTTAAAAAATTCTTTTATTTAAAGTATAAATAAAAAAATTGGCGTTATTTAAAAAGATTTAAAATAAATAAAACATTGGGTGTTCCTTTCTATTTTAATAAAAAAAATTTTAAAATACTATAAATCTATTTTAAAAAAGAAATAATTTAAAAAAATTATTTAGAAAATATTATAATAATGTAAAATAAATATACATATCATAAAATAAAATAACAAAAAAAAGAAAAGTAAAAAAATCGGAACAATTTTTTACAGGTATTGGCCTGATCCGATATTTACGTCTAAATATCGGCACAGTCCTAATCAAAACCTTAAAAAACAGGACAAGATTTCTTTTAAAAGAAAGAGTTCACTTCATAAAGTAAGCTTAATTTTAGATTCGAATTTCAAAAGCCTTAAGTTTTTATTAGAATAAGAAAAAGACGGTATATTATAAAACAACCATAAAAATGCTAAATGACTTAAAATATTATATGAATAAGTAAATGCCAAGGTCAACTATTATTTACAACTGTCATAATTCATCATACACTCATAAGAAACCTAAATGAAAAATTTAGAGAATTTCTAGATGATTCTGATGAAACATCACCATCTACCAATGAAAGCTGCGAGAATGAACTTAAAAGATTCATCGCTCATAAGACAAATAACAATGACAGTATTTTGAAGTTTTGAAAGCAGGAAAATTTGTTTCCTTCTTGAAAAATTAACGAGTAAAATTTTGTCAACACCTGTAAGTACGGCATCTAGTGAAATTATTTTCTGGAGCCAATCGTTTTTTGGAGGAAAGGCGTACTTATTTGAAATAAAAAAGGACATTCTTCTTTTTTTAAATAAAAATTTTGATTTATAAATTGTTTTTATTTTTTGTTATTAATATGGATTATGGAATTAGAGAAATAAATAGAATAAATTCAAAAAAGTGTATAATTAAAGGTTGGCAATAAAGTTTTGAAAAATTTTAAAACACCGTGAATTTTTGTGCGTGACAGGTGTGAATCAAAATATTGCGTTTCATGAGCAAATAAGTGAGGTCAAAATTTTTTTAGTGATAAGTGTGAATGTGCGTAAATTTTTTTTATTACCACTATGAGCAGGTGGACCATGAATAAAAATTAGGCACAGGTAATCCAAAAGAGTTTCTACTTGCAACAAAGAATATTAATCTAAATTTGCCAATCAATTACATCAGACCAACTTAACCTAAAAATTTATTAGTTTTGTTAAACAGTTCAAATTGAGCCAATTTCTAAAAGCAGCTAACTCAATATTTTAGTCAGAAAAATGTTGCCAAAACCTCGAGATTCTGCCAATAGATGTTCATTTGTGCTATCACCAAAATGGCTTACATAAAATTTTTAGATAAAATATTGAGTTAGCCGTTCTTTAAAATCAGCTCAAATCGAACCATTTAACAACACTAATATTTATAATCAAAAATTTATCTTATGATCTTTTTAATACTGAATTTTGAAGATAAAGATTTTAAACATAATAATTTAAACTTATTTTTATTAAATCTGACCTTTATTAAATTTTAACATTTTTTGGTGCTTTCTGGGATGGGCCTACAGGTCTTTGATTTAAATCAAATAAATAGTATTTTAAAAAATTTATTTTGATAATGGATATGTTTATATAAAATAATGAATTACCCCAATGACAAAAATCAGATGAAATAACAAATACACATCCTTCATCCAAAAAAAACTGACTTAAATATTTTCCATATTCTATTTCTTTTTGATAACCAAGGGAACCAACAATAATTGGTATTATAGTAAAATTATTCTGGAATCTATTATACATATATTATCTCATTAAAGCAAATAAATACCCCTCCATAATTTTAGCTATATAGGGTAATTGCATTTCTAAACTATGTTCATCTTCATCTTGTTTTATATTGAAAATTTTAAATTTTCCAGATTTTCTTAATTTTTCATAAACTTAGAAAAGTTAAGATATAATAAATATAAATTACTCTCTTGATCAATTTTTAAATTATAAAAAGGAGTTTCATAAAAAGTAGCAGGTGAAAGAGCACATATGTCTAAATGAACATGATGTGAAGGGCCTAGAATAAATATTCTTTTACTTAAAAAAAATATATTTATTATAAAGTAAGTTTAATACATTTTTGAAGGGATTAAATTCTTAAATGCATATGCTGCAGTGGAACCAGAATATGTGTATCCAGCATGGCTAAAAAAATATATATAGACAAATTTGAAGTATTTACGGTGAAATAATTGCTTTTGTTGCTTCAGTTTTTATAATAGGATTTTTTAACCATAATGAAATTTGCTCATTTAATTGCACCTCTAAATAACAGTTTATCAATTATTTTCAAATTTATAACTTGATCCTGAATACCAAGTTCCCGCATGAGATGCTTTGCGAACCGACATATTAGTTTTAAAAGGATTATCAGAGAATGTTTGACATTTTTGATTCTAACAACTTACTTAACCCAACTAAATTGTTGGGATTCGATTGATGTAATATATTTATATAGGTTAGTTGATAAGTGACATGTGTCGTCAATTAAAATATATTTTTATATCATATTGGTTTTTTTTAAATAACAGATAATTCTTTAATATTCTATATTAAATTAAATAATTAATTTTCTTTATATAGATACTACAATAGCAGATTCAGGATTTTGTCAAATGGGTTAAGGGGTAGGAGGCATTATTAATTGCGGGTTTCCCATAAATATATTAAAAGCTTTAGTTCAAACCAGGCGCATATGCAGCGGGAAGAGGGCAGGGAGACAGATCCCCTCCCCCAGCCAAAAAATGCAGATGCCGGATATAATTTAAAAAAATATTATTGTTCATATTAATTTATATTTGTTAATATTTATTCCTATCTCATATTAAATATATATTTAATTACACTTATAATCACATTCATCTACTAAGTTATTTTATCAATTAATTTCGATTTCAAGTTTTCCGGCGTAATATCTATATTATAATTTTCCGATCTCCTCACTAAGTCATCGTGACGTCATGTCATCGCTACGTCATGTCATTGGTACGTATTTTTATTTATATTTATTTGTTGATTTTATTTATTTATTTTATACAAACAGATGATCCTATTTAATTTTTTATGCAACTGTAGGAGGCCATATTAAAATCAATTGACAAAGTAATACATTATTTACTAAATATTACAAATTAGTAATATTTTATCAATGACATATAACTAGACTGACAATTCATTCATTAAATGCTTTTTAAGCATGTATCAATTGAAATCAGCTGGAGACGCCATTAACACCATGTTGAGTACATCGATGATAATTTGTCTTACAACCAATTCTTACTATAAGTAATACTATGGTTATTTCCGTTACCGACGATTGCCTAACTATATTTTAAAGATATATGGATGAGTTACTAAAAGATTGCCAAATGACTGGTGTCTATTTAGATGACGTAATTATTTCTGGTCGAAATGATGAGGAGTACTTAAATAATTTGCGAATAGTGTTAGACAGATTACATGCAGCAGGTCTTAAGGCGAAATTGACAAAAGTGATATTTTTACAAAAATCGGTTTCATTTTTAGGGGTGATAATTGATAAATTCGGTATACATCCTAACCCGGAAAAGGTGAAGGCTATCCGAAATGCACCAAAACCTAAAAATTTACAACAACTTAGATCTTTTCTAGGACTAGTTAATTATAATGAACGTTTTATTCGCAATCTACATTGTAAAGCGGCGCTATTACATAGATTAACGAGGGTGAAAGTACCTTGGCGGTGGTCGAAAGATGAACAAAATTCCTTCGATGAGGTTAAGAAATTATTGTCATCCGAGGAAACGTTAATTCCTTATAACGCGCAGTTGCCTATAATTTTGGAATGCGACGCATCTGATTCAGGATTAGGGGCTGTGTTGTTACATCAATTAGAGGAGGACAAAACCAATTTCGTTCGCGTCACGTACTTTATTAGAATCAGAGAAACACTACGCTCACTTTTATTTGGTATTGAAAAATTTTATTCATTTATTTATGGTAGAAAATTTTTACTTCGAACTGATCATAAACCATTAGAGCGATTATTTGGGGAGAAACGCGATTTACCTAAAATTTCTAATAATCGTTTGACACGTTGGGCCTGGAAGATAGCTTCTTATGATTTTACAAAAGAATATAGACCTGGTAATAAAAATGTAATCGCCGACGCATTATCAAGGCTTCCGATATTAGACACGGAAGAGAATCAAGATTCTAAACATGCTTTGGATATTCGAAGTATTAATTTGGATGATATGCAATTGTCAGAAAATATTCTACGAAAAGAGTCGAAGCAAGATTTAATATTAAAAAAAGTAGCAATACATATTCAGCAAAGTTGGCGAAACTTTGATCGTCATAAATATAAAGAATTAGTTAATTTTTATAATCGACGGGAAGAGCTTTCTGTCGATCGTGATATTATAGAATGGAATGGGAGATTGGTTATTCGTAATAAATTAAGAAATGCAGTGTTAGGAATGATTCACCGGGGACATCCTGGGGAAAATGTAATGAAATCTATTTTTAGATTGTATTGCTGGTGGCCCAGATGTGATGTTGATATAGAAAATTTTATCAAAATATGTTCTGGATGCCAGAAAAATAGACCTAGTATTCAAGAAGTACCTCTATATTCTTGGACTGTTGGGAAGGAATCTTGGGAGCGAATCCATATTAATTTTGCTGGACCATTAGATTCGCGATATTGGCTAATTGGTGTCGATTCCTACTCCAAATAATTAGAAGTTGATCTAATGCAAAATACCTCTGCTGATGCTATGATAAAATGACTAAAAAAATGGTTTGCTAGGTTTGGAATACCCAAGGACATTGTGTCAGACAATGGATCACAATTCTTATCTGGGGAATTCCGTAGGTATTGTGATTTAAATAATATGCGTCATATACGTTCGGCACCCTATCATCCAAAAACTAATGGATTAGCTGAACGTACAGTACGAACTTGAAAGGTCGGTATTATGCGACGAGAGATTCAATTAGCGATCCCGAAGAAGCTATGACACAGGTTTTAACAACGTACCGATTGGGAGAGCATAGCTCCACAGAGAGATCTCCTGCTAAAATTATGTTTGGGAGGCAATTGAAAACAAGTCTGGATTGGATCCGACCAAATGCCGAACACGAAATAGTAAGGGCCAATGATAGACAAAGCCTTCATCATGATTTACATTCAAAGGAAAGAGAATTTGAAATCTCACAACCTGTATGGTTAAATAATGAAAATACCAATGGTTGGAGAGAGGGAGTAATTAAAGAAAGAATAGGACTTTATTCTTATATTGTTGAATCTTCCGGGAAAACATTACGAAAGCATGCAGATCAGTTAAGAAATCGTTTAGTTATCCCAAATCATGAAAGTTCTTTGGAAGTTACAGAAATGGTTGTGCCAGTGAATGAAGCAAATACAAACACAAATACCACATTACGTTGTTCATCAAGAAACCGTAAACCTACAAAGAGGTTTATTGAAGAAATAATGTTTGAAGGAAATGTAATAAATTAATAAAATATTATTTATAGATATTATATATAAAAATAGAATAGAATATTCGAAAATTAATTAATATAAATTTGATGTTTGAAATAAATTGAAATATTAATTGGTAGTCGTATTGTTTATAAATTAGTAGTTGGTATTACTACACTCATGATATAAAGAACTAGCTAAAGGTAAAAAATTATAAATATAACCATAGTATTACTTTTATAGTAAGAATTGATTGTAAGACAAATTATCATCGATTGGCGTCTCCAGCTGATTTCAATTGATACATGCTTAAATAGCATTTTAATGAATGAATTGTCAGTCAAGGTATTATTATATTTCATTGTATTTTATATAGAAATTCAATTTACTTGTGAGGTGAGCTTGAGAAAATTATTTAAAATTTTTAAGATCTTGGATGCTTGGAAAAAGTAATACATTATTTACAAAATATTACAAATTATTAATATTGATTGGGATTTTTAATGTTAAATGTTAGTCTTATGTTAATATACATTAAATATATCTATTTACAAAATATTACAAATTATTAATATTTTATATAGAAATTCAATTTAACAGATGATTTTATAACTTAAGTTTTCTATGCAACTGAAGGATGCCATATTAAAACCAATTGTCAAAGTAATACATTATTTACTAAATAGGAGTTATCTCCAATAATACGAGGTAATATTTTTTATTTCTTATAATAATATTAGGGCAGACCTTATTTTGTCATGATTCTCTAATAAGTGGTTTGCCCAAGGCTTTCTCAGTTTCTAATATTACGAATTCACATGTTTTTACAAAATACATTATTTTTAATATTTAACTAAATTAATTTAACAATTTTTAAGGATCCTACTTTTTTAAAAGCTTACCATTTTGTCAGTTCCACTATTGCTCTATTATCCCTGCTCATTATTTTGTATAACACACAAAAAAATATACATAGTGCATTATTTTTATTATAAATAATTTTATATATGATTTTATATCTATTCCAAAATATCATTTTTTTATAATTTAAATAAATTTATATTATTTTAAGCATCCTACGTATTTTTAAGGCTATCTATTTTGTCGGGCCGCACAATATGCCCTTTTCAGGCGCGTACGAGGGAATTTGGTCTGGGAGGGGGGGGGGGATTATAAAAAATTTAAAGAAATATTATTGTTTTTTAAAAATATCAAGCATAAATTACACAATTTTAAATTAATGTGAATTATAAAAAAATTATATGTAAAGAATCACTTAAATGACCCAAAATAGAAATTTGAATTTTTTGAGCCTTTACACAAAAAGTTTCTTAGGAATAGTTGCATTTTGTATGTTATATATTTACAATGTAAAATTCAATCTTCGTTGTGATTGAGCTAATTTTTCAATTATCTCATCCTTGCTTGTCGTCAAATGCCTATGAATATTCAAAAGATCCAAACTTTTCAATCTACTTTCAGATGTTGTACTTCTTGGTATGTTTTTCAGAGATCTGCAGGCCCGGCCTTCGGGCCGGACAGTATTTTAATTTTTTAAAATATACCAGGGCCGGGCCCGAATTTTTTCTAAAAAAAACCAAAGCCGAGCCTGAATTATTTTTAAAAAACACCCAATCCGGGTTGTATTTTTTAAAAACAACCTATATTTGAAATCGTTATTATTAGCTATAAAAATCAAAAATAAATATAATTTATTGTTAAAAAGCCGGGCCAGGTCTGAAATTTTTTTAAAAAAAGCCGCGTCGGGCCTAAAAATTTTTTTACAAAAAAAAGCCGGGTCGGGCCTGAAATTTTTTTTAAAAAAACCCAGGCCGGGCTGTAAATAATCTTTAAAAAAATACGGGCCTTGCCCTGCAAATGGTACTTCTGCAGGCCTATGTTATTCTTCAAAGAGAATGTTCTCTCATTAGTCACTTTTAATACATTGGGAATTTAATCTAAAATGTGTTTGAAATAATGCAGAGCATCCATAGCATTTTTTGGGACTATATCAACTATAGTTAATCTTATAAACATAGTTATTCAGCTAGTAAGACATCATAAGATATTTTAACATCTTCATAATAAAAATCTAACAAATATTTTTTTCCCACCATCGGAAAAAGGTTGAGAAGGCTTTTGTGGAAGTAATATTTGTAGATTAGTAAGTGCTGCATGATGAATTAAAAATTCTTTTATTTGGGTTATAAATGTATCTATATTTAAGATATACTCTTCTACCTGATCCTATATTAATGTTTTAACGATGAGCTTGCCTTGCTACAAGTCGAGGGAGACAAATATTAAACACGTATAGCTCTGCTTTTGACTCAACAAAAAAATATAAAATATGAAATTCTTCATCAACATTAGCCCTAATTTCCTTGAGTTCTGATAAAATGCTCTCCGCTATTCTCATCTTCTTAATCAAGTCAATGTCATGTTTTGAAAAGTATTACTTAAAATAGTTATAATTAAATAATACATTCTAATGAGAAATAAAATTTGGAATAAGCATTGAATCCAATAATTTTCTTGCTTCTGAGGAAATATTTTTTTCAGACCATTGTGATATTTCAGTAATAGCAAATATTTTCTCTTCTAACTCCTTAAAAGCTGTTACTGCTTACTGCTTGATAGCGGAGACTCTATCTCGGACAAGGTTGCAATTTTTTTTTTCCTGTTGGACAAGAATTTAAGATAATTATTATTTGACTATAAATTTGAAAATGATAGATAAATATTATGCCATTAAAAATTTGAAAATAATAAGTAAATATTACGCCGGAAAACTTGAAAACGAAATTAATTGATAAAATAACTTAGTAAATAAATGTGATTAAATGTAATTAAATATATATTTACGTCATACATATGAGATACGAATAAATATTAACAAATAAAAATTAATATAAACAATTATATTTTTGAAAAATATACCCAGCATCTGCATTTTGGCTTTGGGGGGAGGAGATTTGGTACGCCAATGGCCCTTTTATCTTTGATGAATATTTTGTCTAACTGAAAATTATACAAAGTACATTTTTAAAATTTAACTAAATTAATATAACAATTTTTAAGGATCCTACTTTTCTAAAAGCTAAGCATTTTGTCGGATCCACCATTGCTCTATTATCCCTGCTGATTATTTTGTATAACGCACAAAAAAATATAAATAGTACATTTTTTTATTATAAATAATTTTATATATGATTTTATATCTATTCTAAAAAATCTATATTTTTTTATAATTTAAATAAATTTATATTATTTTAATTACGTATTTTTAAGGCTATCCATTTTGTCTGGCCGCTCAATATGCCCTTTTATCTCTGATGAATAATTTATCTAACTAACTGAAAAATATACAAAGTACATTTTTAACATTTAACTAAATTAATATAACAATTTTTAAGGATCTTTCTTTTCTAAAAAAATTCCATTTTGTCGGATCCACCATAGTTCTATAATCCCTGCTGATTATTTTGTATAACGCACAAAAAAATATACATAGTACATTTTTTTTTATTATAAATCATTTTATATATGATTATATTTATATTATTTTAACTACGTATTTTTTAAGCTATCCATTTTGTCTGGCCGCTCAATATGCCCTTTATCTCTGATGATTATTTTGTCAAACTAACTGAAAAATATACAAAGTACAATTTTAATCTAAATTAATATAACAATTTTTAAGGATCCTACTTTTTTTAAAGTATACCATTTTGTCGGATCCACCATTGCTCTATTATCCCTGCTGATTATTTTGTATAACGCACAAAAAAATATACATAGTATAGTACATTATTTTTATTATAAATAATTTTATATATAATTTTATATCTATTCCAAAAAATCGAATATTTTTTTATAATTTATATATTTTAAGCATCCTACATATTTTTAAGGCTATCCATTTTGTCGGGCCGCACATAATGCCCTTTTATCTCTGATGAAAATTTTGTCTAACTGAAAATTATACAAACTATATTTTTAAAATTTAACTAAATTAATATAACAATTTTTAAGGATCCTACTATTTTAAAAGCTTTGTCGGATCCACCATTGCTCTATTATTCCTGCTGATTATTTTGTATAATGCTCAAAAAAATATTCATTATTTTTATTATTAATAATTTTATATATGATTTTATATCTATTCTAAAAAAATCAATATATATTACAATATTTATTCTTATTCAATTAAAATTATATATTTATTCTTAAGGTTCCTACCTTTTTTAACAATATTCCTTTTTATTCTTTCAATAAAAAATACTAAACGGTGTTTTCTATTTTTAGGATTTTATATTTATTCCAAAAAAAAATCATATTACGGTATTTATATATTATTTAAATTATTCTATACTTATTCACAAGGATCCTATTTTTTTTTAAGTTTGCCATTTGGTCTCTCCGAATGGTATTTTACTTTATTCCTACCTTAAAATTAACTTGAGAATTATTTATAATTATATGCTTCCTAATATTGTGAGCTTGGACCTGGCATGACATCTATCGTAAAAAAATGAATAAAAATCTCATTCCCAGTCATTTTTGACAGGCTTTCTACTTTTTCAAATTTTTAGTAGCGTAATATTTATCTACCATTTTCAAATTTCTAGTCAAATAATAATTATTTCTGAAACTTCTTGTCCAACAGGGAGAAAAAAAATGCAACCTTGTCGAGAGAGACTCTCGGCCATCAAGCAGTAAAAGCTTTTATGGAGTTAAAAGAGCCTATTATTTGTTATTACTGAAATATCACAATGGCCTGAAAGAAATATTTCCTCAGAAAAAAGAAAAATATTGGATTCAATGCTTATTCCAATTTTTTTTCTCGTTAGAATGTATTATTTAATTATACAACTATTTTATGTATTACTTTTCAAAAACATGACATTGACTTGATTATGAAAATGAGAATAGCGGAGAGTATTTTATTAGAACTCAAGTAAATTAGGGTTAATGTTGTGAAAAATCTCATTATGTTATTGTTGAGTCAAAAGCAGAGCTATACGTGTTTAATA